CCATAACTCCTCCTCCTTCCTGATGGCCTTCCTCCGCCTGCGCGGAAGAAACCCGGAAGGACCTCGCTGCGGAAATGGATCTGGGCGGCAGGATCTAGACTTTCGGGGCATCTAATGTCCAGGAGTGGCTGCGCTTTGAACACAAGAAAGCAAAACGTCGCTCAGCAGGGAGAACCTTGAAAGCGTGTTTTTGTTTTGAGGGAAACTTGCCAATTCTGAACCCAGGGCGGGAGGCCACTCGGCGGCCGGATCGTTCAAATTGCCAAGGCAGTGGCTCCAAAAAAGAGCACTTGGGGCTGGACACACAGTTTATCTACCTCTCTCTCTCCTCTCTTCCCCTGGGCAAGGGAAACACACACACACGCACACACAACCTCAAGATGTCGATGCTGCCAAAAATGGTGAGCTTGTTCTACCCCCCCCCCCCGCCGAAACGCGTCAACAACGTGTGCGTGCCCTCTGCATCCTATGCAGGCATCAGACCTCAGCGCATGAGTTTCAAGGAAGAGCGGGTTTTGATAGGACCAATGTGGTCAGATGCTTTGCTCAACATTTGCCACGGTGAAATGACTCCTTTGCTTGTGGTAGGGCTGGCCATTAATCTCCTCAAAGAGGGTTTTAGGTGGTGCACCTGGAGGATTGGAAAATGGTGACCTTAGGCGAACCTATGGACGGTCGCGTTTTCAAGATTCCACTAGGGCCTCCAATTTAGGCCCCAATGCCCTGGGGGTTTGATTTGCATTCCGCATTTTTCTCCGAAATCCTGGCGCCAGGCTCTCAAGACCTCGGAGAAACCCTGATTTGATACCAGCACCCCACAGCTTCCCCAGTCTTAGCTACCCTGCCCAGGGTCCGTGCCTCTTTCCAGGTGCAAAAAAAGAAACGCGGAACAAATACTGGTACGAATGTAACAACCATATAAGTCCCACTGTAGATTTCGGAAAACTCGGGGCGAAAATGGGAAACTTGGGGTTCTGTATGGCTAGTTCTTCACGGCTTTATTTGGGAAAGCTCCAACAAATCCTTTTTTGCTGGCTTGTGGGATCACTTTGTTTCAGGAAACTGTCGCAGAGTCGCGCACGCAGTTGACAGAAGCCATGGTGCCGAAGATTGCAAACATGAGCCTTGGAAACTACATGACGATTTTCAACTTTAGTTCAGTTGAGCATGCACTTCACTCTGCCAACTGGGCAATTGATGGATTCATGTTTGTACTTGCAGCTCGCATGTGGTGGTACAGGCCCAGATAGGCCTAGACCGCCTGTGGTTTAACCACTGCTGCCTTTGTTTTTGCACGCCGTTACATTTAGGCTCCGGTAGTAGCGGAGAGGTGCTCAAGGCCTCGATGTCCATTGCTGGCTTGCGCACTCCTTGGTTTCTTTTGTCCTTTGTGCCGTTTAAATCTTGAATAGATATCAAAGAAGGCCGCCAGTTGCCGCTACTCGTCTCGGAAAGGGGCTCAGGCCCACTTTCGGGGGCCGCTGGAGCTGTCCAAGTTGTGCCAAAAAAATGCCGTGTGCTTGACGCATGACCAAATCCAGTTGCACACTGACCCTGGCCAGAAAGCGGGACTCTGGAAAAGTCCGGGCCCTTTGTGGATGGTCATTTTTGCTCCGGCCCCAAGCAAAAAGATATTGGAGGATGTCACTGAACAGCTTCCCCACCATGAAAGGGAAAACGTGTCTCCAAATGGAATTCTATTAGCCACCCCCTCTTTCTCCGGTTTGAGGGAGGGGGATGACAAAACCTTGCATTGGTTTACAAGCCCTTTGGTCAGCTGGGATTGCAACCCACTATTTTGGAGCGAAAGCTCAACCTGGCAATAAGAACACATTTTGGAATGTGGCAATCCAGCCCCTACTGGTAGTGGCTCAATTGTCGGGCACCGCCCAACTCGCAGGCTGCAGAAAAAGCAAAATCCCGCATTCCCGTGATTCTTTTCTATTCAGCCATCCTATGAGTCCCTCCTGTTGAGCCAAGCCCGAATGTCATTCTGCATTTCCCCAAGAGCTAAAAGCTTTGGGTCTCTGCTCAAACAAGCTCTGGGGTGGTTCCAGACAGTTCCCGGTGTTGGGGATGCTCCTCTCATTTTGGAGCCTTCCAAAAATAAGTTGAGAACGGGAAGCAGCCCATTCGGTGTCCAAGTTTCTCTGCCTGACACCCAACCCTCCACAATCCGAATCCGAATCCGATTTTCTGCGCGCCCGAAGATGGCGGCCACGGCGATGGCCGAGGAGAGCAACAGCACAGGGAGACGGTTCGCGGCGGAAGAGCCCCCGCTCTCCTCGAATCGAAGCGAGACTCTCCAAAACTTGGCCATTTGGTCTGAGTTCGCTTTGCCGTAGATCTACATATAGTTGTTCCATTGTTGTGGCGCAGCATCCTTTCTGTGAAACCAAACTGGTTGACTCCCATGACTTGCTATCGCGGAAACTGGCCCAAAAACCAAACTGCCAGCGATTTGTGCAGGAGTCTTCTGACAAACCCCCGAGACTTATGGTTTAAATTCATCGTCGGGGCCCCTCTGAGCCACACCCTCCTCAGACCCAGGGTGTCGAGGGCATCATCTAAGTGGGCCCCTCCAAGTGGCAGACAGGCTCAGAACTTTGCGTTCAGTTGCGATGGAAAGTGCCCATGGAATGCTAAAAGAATGAGTGCTGAGAAGTTGATGGAAAACAGCACCCATCCGTCACAAAAGGAAAACATGGAAGTGCACAGGCCCCTCTTCCAAAAGAAACGTGGTATTGCCCCAGAAGGGGTTGTGCACTTCCATGTTGGTTGGTGAAAGGGGGTAGCATGGTAGGAATAAGATCCTTTGACACTATGGTACTATGATGTACTATGACAAGATCACCTGCGGTAAAAACGAACGAGCTCATCTTTTGTGAAGATCCTTTCACCTGGGCATTCCTTATGTCCCTTTGTTTTTGTAGCCGTGCCCCATTACGAATGAGGGTTCGGGATGCCCCCATTCTGAGCAACCCAGTATAGCACGGCGAAATGGACTGAATGATTCTCTGAGCTTTGCCGCGATGGGCCTGTGAAAAACCTTGGTGTCCCTTGGTTTCTTTCTAAAATCACCCACAAAGAATCCTGATGTTCAGGTCCTTTGGTTTTCAAGAGTTTGCCTTTCGGGCCTCATGTGGATGTAGAACCCAGTAGGGGATTCCTTTCTTTTGCTTGATGGTGTGTCTTGACTTCGAATTGGTTCAAAGGGAAACCAAAAGGACCCCCCCCACCCATGTGTGACTTGCCCTCTCCCTTTTAGACCGTTGAGTGCTTCGGGCCTGCAGTGCAGGCATGCATGGAGTGGCTGAATCATCAGAAGAGTACTATTCAACCATATCAATTCATGATCACGGAGGGGATCAATTCATGCGTACGAAATGCCTCTTTCCAACAACTATGAGCCCCTCCAAGAAAATTGGCACCCGAGTGACATTCCCCTTGGCGGAATCATTCTGCGCAAAGCGCCTCTTCTGGTTCACCGGGGTCTCCATTTCGAATTTCATGGGCCTCCAAGGGCTATGGGGAGGCTTGAACCTTCGGCTTTGCTTTTGGGTTATTCAAGGATAGCCCCCCTTTCCATGGCCCTCCAGGTTCATGCTGGATGCAGCCTAGCGGCATGCGCGAACCACCTCGCGGCCGGGGCTGATTGCGGTTGGGCTACGGGTCGACCGAGGGACCAGGCGGTTTGGGAAAGCAGCAGGCAGCTCCTGCTGAAGTTAAGAATGAGGAAGTGGAAACCGGCAGTAATCAGTGAAGGAGTGAGAAAGAATGAGCGGCAAGACTAGCAAGCAGTTTCCTGCTGCAAGACTGCCAGGCTCACTGTAATGCATTCATGCATTGGCGAATTTATTTGAAGCATGAATTTGCCCGTGAGCGGGTTGGTTTTGGTTCTCTGGTGAATCAAACCCTCCCAAGATCCCCTGCGCAATCAGATCACTCAGGACAGACACATCCTCTCTTGATTTGTAGCACGGAGGATGTGCAATCATCATCGTCATCCTCATCATCTTCATCGGATACGCTTTACGCCCAAAAGGCGAGGGAGCGGCGAACACCGCCTGCCCTGCAAACAGGTCACGCGCGGCAACACGCGGCAACACGCGTCAAGCAGGAAGCAAGTGGACAACAGCCCCGAAATCATGGAAGAAAATTGTCCCACATTGTTGCAAGTCGACCGCTAAGCGGAAAGCACAGCAAAAAAAGTGAGGGAATATCATGCGGCAACCAGCAAGGCGTGGAGAAATCCACGCACCACACTGGCCAATCCAAAAGACCCACTGGCGGGTATGCCACAATTGTCCCACAGTTGTCTTCATCATCTTCATCTTCATCGTCGGGCCCCTCCGATTTTCCACATGTCACACCCCGAATCAGCTTCCCTCTAGTCAGTGGTTTGGATGGCTTGGAGGGAGTGGTTTCCCTCTACAAGGGCCAGGAGTTCAAATCCCCAAATGCACCCGAATTTCCGCCCGAAGGTTGCCTTAGGGGCAGCACTCCAAGAGTCAGCGCATCGGCAATTGGGCACCATTGCATTTCGAAAGAAAACAGGCTACGCCCACATGGATTGCAGATCCCTCCCCAAGCAAGAAAAGAAAGAAAACAACAAGGTCCCATCACGTGGGCGTACACACACCCAAGAAAAAAAAGAAGAAAACAAACAATTTCTCTGCAGAACCCCGGAAAAAGGGTCCCTAAAACTGCCATGTCCCCAAGCAGAACTTCTGGTAGCTCCCTCCGCTCCCCATTTGGCAAATTTGGATACCCAGCTCAGCAAAACTCATAGGAAACAAACAAGACCCCTTGAAAACGAACATGGTCTCCGAGATGTCCTCCGCAAACCGGTTCCACGCTCCATACATGTCCCTTTTAAACATCACCCCAAAAGGGGAGTCACTTCAAGTTGCCCCAACAGGGTGGTGATTAATACCACCGAAAGGGGAATCATTTACCCCAAGAGGTAATACTTAGAAACCACCCATCCAGGAAATCACTCGCTCGTCGCCTTTGACCAATGCGAGGCGCCACACCAAGAGGAAGAAGCCGAAGCACAGCAGGCCCGTCACCAGGCCGAGCCCTGTGCAGACCATGGCGGTGTTCTCCAAAGGCTCCATGGCGCCGACTTTCCGGCGCTCGGCACCGGCGGTGGTTTCTTCCGGGCTCGGTCCACCGGGTTTCCACACGTAGCCGGGGGCTCTTGCATGATGCACTTAGACGCTATCACCAAAAAATGGGCTCCTTATGGTCGAAAGGAAGGGGAAGGGACTTCAAACGACAAACTGTAGGCATGTTAAACCCAACATGTGTCAAGCGACCTCCTTGGGGTGTCCCTTCAAAGGGGACCAGGGCGTTGTTCTTCCCACACAACTTTACTCAGGCTGCACGCGCCTCTGGCTTCAGGGAAGTGGGGCCACATGCCCAGTTTTAGATGTGAAGAAAGGACTGTCGTCATCCCTGGACGGCAAATAGAACTAAGGCTGTACATATACATATATATATATATACATATATATATGGATAGATAGATAGATAGATAGATAGATATATGGATAGATAGATAGATATTCGTATCTATGTTTTTTTTTATTGATACACAATCAGACATATACACATACACGCATGCGTGAGTACATGTCTACAAGTATATATGTTTCACAACTGCCATCTATGCAGCCTTGCAGCTAACGTGCAAAGGCATGTGCACATGTGCATGTGCCAAGGCATGTGTGTGTGTGTGCGTGCCTGTGCGTGATGCTTTTGTGCATGATCGCTTTGCGATCATCCTAGGGGGAGCTGAAGAAAGCTCCGGCCAAGCAATCAATGGGCATGCCCCTCTTCAGCGTGGGAAGTTCGCCGTTGCCCAGCAGATATGCTCTAAATATAGATTATGTAGGCCAAGTAAACCAACCACACTCAAGCTAAAAACAATGGTGAACTACGGTTACAAAGGGGGCTTCCCTAGTTCCACTGCTCGCACAAACATTAGCTAGTACGTTTGAAGTTATGTGTTTGTTCTGCATATGTCTTGGGCATTGGTTATATCCTCTACTCTTCCCTCATTGTCACTCACTCTCCCATCCACCTTTGAAAGGTGGCTGGGAGATGGGAGATGAAGAACACGAAAGCTACAACGCGGAAAGGCTCCTGCCCCGTCCAATCAAACAAGCCTACTTCACAGTCTATTTCGGGGTCTGGTGGCGGCCAGGGCGCTCAATCGAATGGCTCTCAGGGAAAATGCGGCGCAACTTGCGAGTGTTTCATCCGAAAACCGGGCAATTCCCCCCTCTCCCCCACTATCATGGCACCTGTCCCTCAAAGAGGAACTGATCTTCCAGGTACCTTCAAAAACAAAGTAGTGAGAGGACAGGCATCGAAAAACCGCTGCGCCGTTTCATTTCACAAACTCGCATGCCCATGAAACCATTGGCCCCGGACCCGGGCAGGCGTGCGATGCGCCTCTTTCCACCCAATCATGCACTCCCGTCCACTGGGACGAAACAAGGCTCAGACGAAAGTCACCTGGCGTCAGCCAAAGCCTCGAGGAATCTGATCCCAGTTTCACCAGTAAAGATCCAGGACAAACTCCAGGGGCCTCTAATGAGCGCATGAGCTGGGAATTGAGATTAAAAAAATAAACTTGGCAAAACACGGGTCAGTTTGCTGCGGGTCTGGTCTAGGGGTCCTTGGCGGAATCTTTGAACCTAGTGGCCATCTCAAGGTTGCGCACTATTCTGTATACCCCTGAAGGAGTCCACAACTTTTCGGAGCCAAACGCGGACATGAATTTCAGTTGAAGACCCTTTGATGCCCACCAACCACTCAGCGATTAAGCCAGGGCCAGTGAAAACGCAGGGGAGTTCGGTGGGCCTTCGGTGAAATGTGTGGACTATGATATTCAGCCTGCTGAAGTCATTTCGGAAGACATATCGTCCGAGACAATTGACAAGGGTTCCCCTTTGGTAAGGGCATCTGCTGATGGTGACATGCCGCTTGTTTCTGAGCGGCTAGCTGAAAGCTTTTTGCAGAACAAGTATGAAGCCGCTGCCAAGAACATACAAGCTCGAAGGAAAAAAAGCTGACATGATCGCAAAACAAAGCTATTTTGAGGTGGAAACAACCAGGTTGGCCAGGGCAATAAAAAAGGAACCCAAACAAAACATGCTCTGCCAGGACAACCGACAAAAGGACACCTATGATCCACTGAACAAACGAAGGAAGCCACCGGCACGCGCTTCACCCCTCGAGCCCTCCAAGCCCTCCCCGAGCCGTGCCTCAGCTGCGCCAGGTCTTCCAACACTCTGAGCAGTAAAGACCTCAAGGACGTGCAATCTAAAAGTGGAAGCATATGGGTCTGTCTTTCTTAACAGGAGACTCCTTTTTGGTTGGTTTTGGAAGGAAAGCGAAAGAAACCACCCTTTTTGGAGGAGGCAAACCCATATAAGATGTCGGCCCCGGATTCATGAACCCCTGGCTTTTAATAGGGGGTGTTGTTGGATGTAGTGGGGATTCAGACCACTTTTAGAGGGGAACTCCCGGCTTTATTAAGCCAGGGTCAACATTACCCCTGCTTCATACCCGTGTCGCTATGTGGGCAGAGCAGAATGAAAAAATGCAAGCCTTTTGGTGTCATTTACCCTTGGGGCATGCAATGTAAGGTATGCACAAACATCCTAGATTGGAGAAAGTAAGAGAAAACGGGGGGGGGCTGGGGAGAGGGACAAACGCTGGAAAAAACATATTCAAAACTCGGCAGGGGGGAAGGAGCCGGCACACACTCCACAGAAAAAGGAACCCCTCCGGAGGGCTGGTAGGACAAAAACACAGGATCGCAATCAAGAGAGACAAGCCCGCCAAGTCTTATTGTTTTGCTATTCGGACCAGTGTTTTTTGGATGGCCCACAAGTCAGACATGGCAACATGTGTTTGTTTGGCGTTGCTTGTGAAAAAGTCAAGACCCCCGCAAACGGTGTCACTGGATTCCCCTGTGCTGGTCCAAAATCGGACGCCTAGCGAGTACCCCACAGAGCAAATCACAAACATCCTCCCATATTCTCCCATGACAAAGGCTTCATCTGGGTGTACAGCACCCCACCTGCGGATAGGGTAACCGCCAGTGCAACCGCAGGCCGCAGGCCCCCCGGCAGTCCGCGTACGCGCCCCGGCCAAAGCGGCCCAGCCGGGGCGTTGCTGGCGCCTGCAAGACCAGCTCGGGCGAAAGCTGCGAATCCCGGGACTTTATCGTTGCGCGTCTTTTCTTGAGTCCTTGGGCGCACCTGGACCCTCAAACTACCCGTAAAAAAATGGGAATTCACCCCGGCTGGAATTTTGAGGATCCAGGTACCCTGCTTGGTTTCCCCTATTTCAAGACGTGGTCAAAACTCCTGTAATCATTTTATGTCATCATTGCCGCCCGTTTCACTCACCTCGGTACAAGGACACGGGGAAACAAAGGGGCCAGTCATGTCGTAGCCCATTATGTGAGCTTTGGTCATGGGTCCCTTGATGATAGGGATCCTTCTGATGGTTGTCTAGAGTCCCTATGGCCAACACGTCTAAGAGCACCATCCCTACCACACCCGACGGGGTCTTTTGACCATGGCAATGGATGTCTCTCTAAATGGGGTATGGAGGCCTTCAGTCACCCATGGGAGATGTTTATGTTTGACTTCCCACAAGGGATGGGTTACCCTCTCTCTTTTCTCCAAATGGGATACCCACGTGTCGCCAAATTGAGAGTAAATTACGGGGGCTCTTGGCTCCACCGCGCACTCCCGATAAACATGTGGCTTTAGAGGTGCATCATAATGCTGCAAGGATGTTGGTTGTATACTGCATACACCCTGGTTCTCACAATCATGAAAATGCCCAGGAGGGACCAGTCAAACCTGCTGTAACAAAGGCGGCCTTGATTGAAAGCCTGTAGTTGCGCAAAACTCCTCTTGGCGCTACCATCCATGATCGCCAACCGCAAATTCCCGCTTGGGCCTGGCACTGTTGGCAGCCTCGGCAATCAGACACTGAGGCAGGCAAACCCCAAAGCTACCTAAACTGCCAGCGGCTGGAACATGGGAAAGTGAGTAGGTCCCCGGTCTTGTTCCTGCGGAAAGTTGCTGTCCGCCTAGCCACTCCGCCTCCAGATTTTGAAGAGACAACTTGTGAGTTGACTGGCCAAAAACAGTGTTCAAGCTCAAGCTTTTTGGGCCCCAACTGAAAGTATGAAGAAACCTACCAACGCAAAGTGTTGGTCGTAAGCCTTGTTGAACTTCTGACTTTCTGAGGCCTGCACGTGCCGAGACGTCCGAGACGGGGTCGGCTTCCTGAAAGAAACTGCCGGTGGCGGGCGACTCTCACCGCCTTGGGGCTAAAGTCCAAGTAGACGGGTTCCCCCAAACGACTGCAAGGCTGGCAACCTTTTTGGGCCGAGTGAACCCTTCTGGGCTGTGTCGCACGAACTTTAAGGGATCCCCTTTTTGAGCAGCGCCCAAACCCGACGACGTTTGGCCCCGGCGCTTCTGTTTCTCTCCGCCTTTGGATCCTGCTGACCTCGTATTGTTCCTAGATGACCCTTCGGTTGGCTCCTTCAAGGATACATCTGAGGTCCGTAAAACAAATCCGCGTTTAAAAAGGCTCATTTGGAGGATCCAATTGTAAGGCAGGGTGACTCTTGTGAGGTGTCCCTTGCGGAACCCTCTTGCATAATGGCCTAAAAAAAATTCAACGGGGTAATGGGGGCCTTGAAAGCCCCCCGCCACGGTGTGCACTGGCTGTCACACTTCACCCTCACTCCCCGAACCCCTCCCCTGCCTGTTGATTGGTAGAGCCTGCCCCAAGAGACCCATGGTAAAGAAACAAACATGGCTTCTTGATATCTGCACCCAGTTCTGGTTGGGACTATCCCTTACCCCTCATCTACCCGGTGTTTTTGATTGTGCTCCCCGAAAATCCGCGACCAAATCTTGCCCTCCGCCGCCCTGGCCTCTGTTTCATACTGACCAAGCATTCACAGGGCGTCCATCCCAAGTTCCGATCGCGGTTGTTGCAACCATCCACAGTATCTAGCCACCCCCAAAAAAAAACTCAACCACGCAATGTACAAAACAAAACACCTCAAGAACCATGCAAACAAAAAAAAAGGCGCGCGGTTGATGTCCGCAAAATCCACCGGATCGAACCGGATCCATCGGATGCTCTCGGCTTTCTCCGGCCTCCTCGGGCTCGCAGTTCAACACCTTCGCCTCAGGGTCCCCGCAGTCAACCCCTGAGGGGATTTCTTGTTTTGGGATCCATGGGCGATGTGGACCATTTGAAGAAATCCCCCAAAGCACCGGGTATTCGGCAGGTTGCCTAAGGCCTAAGGCGGCTGGAAAATGAATGAACACTTTCACCTTTCAGATGAATTTTCAAAGTAAACATGGGCTGTTTACCATCCAGAAAACGGGCCAGGAGTATTTGCAGACTTCCCCTACCACCTCCAAGCACTTGGGGGTTGTTTGGAAAGGGCGGTGGGGTGTTTTGGGGTCCGCCTGAAGGTAGATGTTGGATGCATCCGCTTGCGGCTTTGCTCAACAACGGGTTTCATAGTGAATCCTCTGCTAGGGCCCTTGAAGCAAACCTTCCAATTGTTCATGAGGTCCTTTGCTCGGTAAGGATGCTCTTCTTTTAGGGCCACGGCAAAGCCAGCTCCGAATAGGATTGCAAGACAAAGCGACGAAAGGCCAACAAGACTCGACCGACAAGATCCTCAAACACAAAGTCCCGGACCGGGAAGCCTTCGAACATAAAACACAACTAGGCGCAATCAAACAATGTGACCTTCCACCGCGGGGCTGTGCCGCTCTGCGTCGTCAGACAAAACCTTTCTCCTTCAAACCATGCTGAATCCCAGGGATTCCCCCAAAAAAAGTGTCCCAAACTGATGGAGTTCTCCAACAAAACAATTCCTGCCAAACAACTCCCCAAAGCTCACGCGCACCCATAGCCGCCTACGTTTTATTTCTTTGTCGCGTTCTTGGCCCTGGCCTCGTGGGGAGTGGGGGGGGGGGTTGGAAGGACTAACAAAAACAGTGTTGGCATTTGTATTTGTGGGGCGGGGCCAATCTTGATAGGGGCCCAAGCCGCAACTCGCAAGGGGGCAGCCAATCCACGAGGTGCAAGAGCGCGGGATCAACAAAAGAAAGGGAAGATTTGAAAAGAGGCAAAAACTGCAAGGATGACAATGGGGAGAGTGCTACATCAAACTTCATCATTTTGAAGTCTCGAAGTTGCCAATAAGTGCTGAATAAAACTGTGCGTGAAGACAACAGGTCCCCTCAAAAACGATTGCAGGTGAACAAAACCCTGCACCAGTTGGTAGGTGGTTTATCCATCCCAACCGGTGCTATCGATTCCATTTTTCCGCCCAACATGATCGCAGCGCTTGAGGGCACGGCAGCAACGCGGAGCCCATCCTCAGACTGCTCTGAGGGAATACTCGCAGGTGCTTTCTGCGGGCTTCTCAAAATAGTCGCCTAAACCGGTTGCTGGCCAAAAGGGGCCCACCATTTGAGAACACTCTTGTGGGTACCTGGGTCGTGGGGATGCTTGCGGCATTCGCCTGATCCAGGAACGGGCATTCCCTCAAACGCATCTTCCTTGAGAACCGGACAAAAGTCACAACCCCTGCCATGGATGCTTAGAGCACAATTCTGCAGCCACCCCACAAAACAGATACCTGAAAGAAGAGGTTGCAAAATAGACTATCATACGGGTTACCCCCCCCGGCTGTGTCAGACACACCGATATCTTTACGGTAATGACCCGAATCACAGCCTCTGGCCGCACCGAGGTGTCTAGGAATGGGGGGGGGAAGCTAAATGGCGCCTTTGGATGGGCGGTAGGTAGCTGAGGAAACTACTGTACAAGCAAGGGACCTTCACCACGGGTGAGCTCGTTGTACCAGGTGCGCTCACCATGATTTGCCCAGAGGTAAGGAGACTGGAGGATATCGATTCCGTTGGGGTGTCCTTTCATAAGAAAAACTAGGTTGGGTTTCATACCAAAAAGGCGAGCGCTACTTTGTAAGTGATTCTTTTGGACTGTTGGACTGCCACCAAGCTCCTTAGGGGCCTCGGAAACCGCAAAAAAACGAGGCAGACTTGCAAATGTTCGTGCCACATGGGCTTTGGGCCTTGGATTGCGAGGACCCTGCAGAACAAATGCGACCGCGCGCCCTCTAGCAAGGGCTCCCAACCTGGAGGAAGCCAGCCATGGAGGGCCTGTGGCGACATGGTGGTTTGGCCCAATCCTTGCGGGTTGCTCAAACATGGAACACCTGTCAATCAAAGGGTGTATTGATCCCGGGCTCCATGTCAATCAGGGGACCACCCTTGTTCCAACAATCTGGAAGTGCACGTTGGACCTTTTCAGTCGTGTCCTCCCAGAACCTCCGTGCGGTGCCCATGAAATATCCCTTTTTCAAGGGTTTCAGAAATGGTCCGCGGCATCCCTTGTTTGGAATAACGTGCAGGCATGTTCAACAGTCTGGTCGGCTCCTCGTTTGGACCATTTCGGTGCTGCCTAACATCAGGGAGTACCACAAGGGTCCAGAACATTTTTCCAACCCCCCACTGGGTGCTGATGTTGCCCGGCAGTCTTTGCCAGGCTGGTCTGTTGCGCCAAGAAGCCAGAATGTCATTTCGTATCCATAATGCATTTCTCCTTCACAGGCATAATGACTTGTTTGAACCGTGGCCCAAATTTCATGCGCAAATTTCGCAATCCATATCGGTGTGTCGTATTCACCGCGTTGCCTCATTACTTGTATGAAGTATTTGCACGCACTAATCGTTATTCGATTCAATCACCAGTGGTTTAATCATTGTTCATCCTGTCATTCTAAGCCAGGCCATACGTTACAAAAGTTCAGAGTCATAATCATCAGCCGTTGTAAGTCACAAGTGAGTCCAGTTCGGTTTCGAGTCATGCAAAGTCATGGGTCATAGCTGGCTTGTGGTTCGTGGTACAATATCTCATGCTTTGCGCTTTCCGCCTCTCCAATGAGTACGCTTCCGAGCACCAAAAAAGCATGCCAACTGATAGCCACTGGTATGCCCAACGATGCATTTGGCATATACAGCCAACTAGAACAGCCCAGTGGGGTACCAGCAAAAGGGGCTTTCAAAAAGTGGGGCTGTGCGAACTAGCTTGGGAACTGCATGTGGCTTTGCAGGGCAAGGCAGAGAAAGGCTGCATCAAGACACAATTTATGTGGTCAACCTGCAAGTGGGCCATACAATTACCCGCTTTTAATTGGGTGACCTCATAAGTTGTGTCTTGATGCCTTTCCCTGCCTTAAAACCATCAAGCCTTTCACTGGTGACTGCCAAAAAGAAAATAAGAAGTTCTAAATTTAGGAGGGTGAGCCTACCAAAAACCAATTGGTATCTTCTGCTGGTGCCTTTTGAGGAGGCATTATGTATAAATGGCTTTGGGTACCGTTAGTGCTGGGGGGCACAAACCAACAAATATCAATCTAATATGTATGTACGTAATACTGCAACACTATAACATGTGTGTGTGTGTGTGGTATCCTCTCTCTTCTCTCTGTCTCTTTCTCTCTCCCTTTCTCTCTTTTTCTGTGCATGGCCGCCGCCTTTTCGCCGATGCTTCCAGCTGAGCTACACCCACTGAATGCCCCTATGGCTGTTTGGTTCAAACAGTGCTGTAATGTCCACCTAGGATTCGTCACACAGTCTCAATCAAATTGCTCAGAAGTTCCCTGGAACGATTACCCCCCCCCCGTAATTCCATTTGCCCACTGGTCCCGGTAGAACAAGGGAACCATTTCGGGGTACAAGTAGAAGGGAAACAGCGTGCCTCGCATTGGGGCTGGAAGCATTCCTCGCACCGGGAAGCGACAGAAGACTCAGAAGTGTCCAGCGAGCCCTTCACAAGATGTTTGGGGAAAAAAACACCCTGCATATTAACATGGAACCCAGAGACAGGACATCGCTTAGAGGAATCTCCTGTCAACAGCTCCTTCTATCGCCTTCATTTTTTGGGAGGGTACCCTGGTGGGGGCTGGTTTGAAGGGAAACCAAAAGGAAAGCCTTCATTTGTAAGGTGCCTATTTTGCTGCCTATCCATACTACATACGGGCGTGAACTTTAATTGGAGACACTCTGGTGGACATCTTGAGGTGGGGATCTCCTCTATTAAAAAAACATAATATGGCAACGTTGGCATGGCAACACCTCTCTCCTGGTCCAGCCATGGTGAGGATGGGGGGGGGGGGGCTTGGAGCACCCCATGAACAAAAGCAGTGCTTTGGGAAAACGCGTGAGTTCAATTACTAAGTGGGTTGCAACCTAAAGTGGTAGGCTTACCATTGGGAAACGTCGTAAGGAAGGTTCTGGCCAGGTTGGCTTAGGGCGCTTCACCTTTCAGCTGCCCTAAGCTGCACTGGTGAAAGGAGAGCCGTTCTCGCGCCCCATGCGCCCTGGAGCATTTGCTTTTGTCCTCACCTCCTGCCGCGGTACCATCCGGACGAAACTTTGACCCAGGATTGATTAATAAACCTCTGGTTAATTCATGGGAGGGCGTCCCATGTCCGGATCACTTTGAGGGAACACACCCCCTATTGATCCGCGAGGTTGATTATTCAATCCAGGGTCCAGGTTTCAGTAACACGGGGGACGACGACAATTTGTCCGGTCTGACAGCCGCCCTGAAACTCAGCTCAGGCGGTCCACGCCCCCTTGCCGGAGGTATTCTTCACTGGCACCGCCGGGCGGCACCTCTGTCAAACACCCACTAGATGTCCGACAACATCGAGAAGGGAAACCAACCGTCAAAAACAAAAAAAACACGATGGTCTGGCATTCCTCCTTGGAAACCCCATCAATTCAAGGCGCAGCTGATCCGTTGCAACCTGCTTTTCCAATGCAACTGCCAACCTTTGAAACTTCCAACAAGGCGTTTTCACGGAGGGACCCCAAAGCTTTGGCCCCCCGACACGTGACAGTCACCCAAAGCTGAGGCCACCGCTCCCCGACCGCTTGCGCTTGGGCCACCAGCCTCGGAACCCCAAAGAATCCATCGCCTGCCCCCCCTGAAGCGTCCAGGCCGAAACGTCAAGGGAGCCTTGGCATCACACCAAGGGATTAGCCCTCGAAAACGACACATGTGTCAAAAGCATCACACCAAGGGATTAGAACCATGACACTGCACAGGTCAAAAATAACAGGGCTTCATCTCAAAATGCACTTGGATGGGAAACTCCAAGGTGTACATGAGTCCAGGGTGTATACCAAACCCCTTTGACACGTCTTGCGCAAGGTCCAGCCCTCAACTCTGGATGCCTAGGCAAGCCATCTGGAAGGAACCTCCACGAGGCACAATCCGTTTGCGCGAGCCACACGCTGTCGGCCAGTCAGGCAAAACCAAAGCTGACAATTTCCTGCGGATCAACATCAGCTGCCATATTCGAAATCATGGTTCGCATTGCCACGGCTAGCATCTGCAGTCCCATCCCGAGCAGAGAGGAAGAACACCCTTGAAAACTAGCATTCATTTACCCATGCTAGCGTTGCGGCCCTCCGCAGGCAACGGGATTTGGGCCAAGTGCGTCTAGCCGTCCCCACAAATTGGGTTATAAAACTATGATTTGAACTCCAGGGACCGCCACTCCCCCAATTCCTTGAATTTGGCTGGCATGACCCAAGCAGGCCGCAAGACATTCTTGGGCCCTGCTCTTACCCAGAGATGCATTGTGATTTGAACGTCCATCGGATTTGTCCAACCTGCGGGGGGCGAAACCATAAAGAAAGCGACCACCAAGCACCCTCCGCCTCCAACGACTAGCAACGACCGCTGTGCCTATGTTAGGAGTCATGCAGCCAAAAAAACAATCCATGTTACCGTTGCGTCTGGCAATGTGACAATCGTGGTTCGTTGGGTTCCATGCCAGTCACTTCCTGAGGCGATTGGGAAACAAAGCCTCCAATCTCTTTGGCCAATGGCCCGTCCCACCTGCCATGTGGGGACTCAGGGCGTCTCTAAGCGGAAGCTTTCCACCCAACTCCCCCCGGGACTCGGGTCGGTGAGGGAACTTTCGATTTCGGCCAGGCGGCTGCTCAATCGGCTGAGTGAAGCCGCGCATGACGCAGGACCAGCCCCGGTGCAGCCTCGGGCTGATTTTGCGATGTGCCATCGCCTTCCCCCCACCCCCCCACCCACCCCAGTTCACAAACTGAGTGGTTGCCTTCAGGTCAAAGCGTCGCAGAAACCAGGCGAAAGGGCAGCCAGTGGTGGTTATGTCCCACCCAGGACACTTATAACAAAGGCAACTGGGGCTACAACAGGGTTACAAACTGCTTACTAAGTCTGATCCCTTTAAGGGGCTCTCGAGAAATCAACTTTGGGGACCCGGTACTTATAAGATCGGAAAAGATAGCCATCTAAATGGTGCAATGGGTGCCTGCCTCGAATGTACGACATGCCTCTCTATACTGCAGGACTCTCATCAAGCAAGTCTTTACTCCCCCCAAATCACTGAACAGCGAAACATCTGCAGTGCCTCGGCATGCCACTTTTTCGGGTGCCCCGCCACTTCCCTTCAAAGGATACATCCCAAAACCATCAGACACGCCCTACTTTCGAAGGGGGTCTTCTTAATCACCTGATGACGGTGAGTATCAAACTAGCGTGATCTTCAATTTGGAATACCCATTTTGGACCCTTCTTGGCATTGGAAAACAAAGGGAAACCACCCATGGGCCCACTACCCTGAGACAAACCCCACAGTCACTCCAAACGCGGCAGTTTGAATGGATCCCGCCGGCTTCAACCATTGTCAAGCTGGCCCAAGGTGGGCCAAACGTATCCTGGGACGGGGGACCTGGGATCCGGGGACAGACGGGACCCCGGCACTGCGGCCGCCTTCTGCGCGTCGGCGTCTTCCGGCAAGGCGGCCTGGGCCGTTGGACAAGGAGCGCGTGGTACCAACCAAAAAGGGGAGGTCCAAACGATGGAGTCTAAACCGTGTTTAAGCACCGGGGGTCGCCCTACATCAACTGGGTCGCCCTAAATCAATTGAACAAACAGTCGGCCGGTTGCACACAGGTTCTAACTTGCTGGTTACCTGGTTCTTAGTAAGTGCTTCATTGATGATACGGGTGCAGGGTCATGTGCTTGGCACATGGTCGTTCATTGCATTTCTGTGCCATGTGGCTTGCTTCACTTGCAGAGAATGAGCAAATGACGCCTGTTGACCATCCCGTATCGTTTCCTTCAGTGGGCCCATTAGTTCATTCCCAAAACCCGTTGATTCCCTACTGAGAACAAGCAAGCAACAAAAGGTCCCGTCCCAGAGACAAACAACTTGTCTGCCGCGGTTTCACTTTGGTCCGCCGTTGCAACAGTGAAAAGGATTCGAAGACATGTAGGCGACTGTACCACTGCACTCACCATATGTACGCACAACATGCCCAGCAACAAGATTGTGCGCTTGGCAAAACAGCAGCATCTCACTTGGATTCGAAAACTAAGAACTCTTGTCTCCCACTTGAATCTCAGGCACGGTGCTTCTGCCACACTGTGACATAGGAAAAATCCCCAGGTTCATTCCCACATTCCCCGCTGAGCACCAGCAAGTCAACTTGCTTTTAGTGTCTCCCATTTGTTGGATCTGCTTTTCGTCATGCCCCGAAAGGTTGACCTTTTTCACATCCCCTTGGTCTATGTTTAGTGGCCCCAAAAGCTGATCACCTTTTGTTCCGTGCCTTGGGCAGCTGAGAAGACCAAGGCGGTGACTTGCGTTGGAAGCCCCGCCCGGGCGCGGGGGGAAGGCTCGGGGAGGTCTGGGACATTTGGGGGTGGTTTCATATTTGAAGGCTTCTTCTTGGTGTCCATGGTGTCGTTTTAAAGGGAACCGAAAGGAAACCACAGTCGGGCGTTCTAACCACTTTATGTTGAGCCCGATATGAGCCCGATTAAGAATGAATGACGTGGAACACCAATGGATCAAAATCCACCAGTTGTTTCTGGATCCGTGTTCCCACTAGGATCTAGGGCCCAGTGATGAAACTCTCCTAATTTACCATGTTGTTGGGCCAAAATGTTTCGGGCGTGCATAAACTTGGCAGACTAAAGTGGAACAAGCCATTTGGGCGAACGTGCTAGGGGTCATTTTCCACTTCTCAGGGCCACCTATCGCAGCGATCGCAAAAGCCGAGCCTCGGGCCGCGTCTTGAGCCAAGTCACTCCAACGAAACATCATGAACCCCACTTCGAAAAGGTCATGACCTTTTGGGCCATGACCAAAAAAAAACAGACCCCCAAAAATGGGGTCTGAAAAACCAGGCCGCAAAAAAGGGGGAGAAAAAAGCCGGGCAAAAAATCATGGAAGAAAAGCCAGGCCCCAAAAACCAGCGAAAAGCCCGCCGAGCCCTGGGCCAAACTTCTCCCCAGCCTTGGGCCAAGGCGCCACCGCCTTGAAGTCCCGGGCGCACGCCTCGAAGGCGCGGCCCTGGCCGCCGATCAGCGCCCCCGGCACGCAGCGCCTCGCGCGCAAACGGCCCGGGGAGATCGGCGGGGGACCCTTCGGTGGGCTCGGCCAAGCAGGTTGAAGGTTTAAGACATGTAAGCCACCGTTCATGGGGGCCTGGGGGGAGGGAGGGCAGGGGGAGGGAGCCTCAAGAAGCCAACCCCAACCAGGGTGCGCTCGAACAAGGGCGGCACACGCAACTGGCTTCGACGTGTTGAATGGGCTTGGGGCTTCCAATTTCAGCTTCCCTCCAGACATGGGAAACCCAATTGCCTACCAGAGCCACTTCGAATCCCCAAGGCAATCCACAAACCACCAACTAAGGTAGTAAGGCGTACCTGGAAAAGAAAGTCCAAAGAAAACAAACCACCAACTACTGCTCGTAATCAAAGCCTACCTTGCAAAAAAAACAAGTCGAAACCTTCAAACAGCTCAGGAAAACCCGAAAGTCTAAGGTAGTAAGGCTTACCTGGCTCAAAAAAAAAAACCGAGTCCGAGCAAAATACCGGCCCCGCCTCAAGACCTCCAGCTCAGCACGGCAAGGGCCATCACCTGCCAGTGGGCCCAGAGCAAGGGGTCCCGGGGTCCGAGGACTGAAAGGATTTGTTCCAGTGATTCACGCAGCAGAACTCAGGATACTTCAAGAACCTTGAAGTGCAGAAACTCAAAGACTGCCTGTACAAGGGGAAATCGCTGGAAACAAGAAGCTGCCCGCTAACCAATTGGAAAACGAGAAGGATTCGTTAAAGGCAAACCCAAATAATCAAATTGGAATCTAAGTGAAAAGTGGAAAAGTTAAATCGGAATTCAAGTTAAAAGTGGAAAAGTTAAATTGGAATCCAAGTTATAAGTGGCTTGGCCTCCAAAAGCAGGCTGAAGGGTTGGATTCCATGGCCTGGGAATCCTGAGGATAAGCCACAAACTGTCCCTTGACTAGTTGACCAGGATTTGCAACCATTAAAAAAACAGGAGCCGTCCGACAACCACCTGCTTTACAAGGATTTTGACCCTCCAACTGAGCTTGATGTTGTTGGTTTCGTTTGAGCTGGCCGATGCCCCTTTCACCGCGTGGCGTGTGCCGCACTCAGTTTAAGGAGAGTCCAAAAGGAAGGCCTGACCAAGAGATGCGTGTGCTGCTCCCGTCTTCTTGGATTTCCTTCACCGCCATACGGGGCCGAGTTCGGAAGGCTTCGACCTGACTGGCCAAATCCAAATGGGTGGTTTGCAAAGGGATACGGCCCGTTTAGGCCGCAAGGGTTCCCTGCATTTCCTCTTTTGGTTCAACTTGGGCCGCTTTAAAGTGAGCTTCGTTTTGGTGGGGTGATGTTTAAGTGTCAAGGGGGAACTTGAGCAGCCTGGCCTGTACCCACTGCACCGGCGTTTGAAGGTTGTCTTCCCAGATTGTCATTTGCCCAAAGGCCCAAAAGGAGTCAGAAATATTAGGCCGACGATTTGGGCTTGTCTCTAAATGAGGGAACCCAAAATGAGGGTGGTCGTTGGTCTGCCCATGATACCAACTCAAAAAGGGTAATTACTCAAAAATAAACACATGTATCCGGGGCTCCTATGTTGCCGACCTGAACATTTGCCTTCCTCTCCCCAGCCCCCCGCCCAGTTTCCTTTGGGACTGGTACAGTATGCGTTTGAATCTTCAGAGCGTATCTTTCCGGCAGCCCTGCGGCCCAGTCGGTAGCAGGACTCGAAGACCAACACCAAAGCAAAGGACAGCGGGTCAAACGTGGTGCAGTTACTCAGCTGCTTGCCTGACCCAACCCCCCAGTTCTGGTCGCTTGGTAAATCCCCCTTGTGCATCAATCTGTTTTTCCCAAACCCCCGTCCACCCCGATTTCTTCAGGGGGCTCTCCAAAGCAAGTTCAAGTACAAACCCACATGTAGAATGCCATGTCAATCGCAGAAAATGTGCCTTTCAATTTTGACTGCAAAAGGCTAAACACAAGCCCTGAAAGATGCGACCCAAGTAGAAGTCCCTCTGCTTCCCAGTTTTGCCCCATAGTTTTCTGGGTCCCTTAAGTGGCATTTCGACACAAACTCGCCTTTGGAGGAGGGCCTCCTTTAAACCACTTGAGTGGACTCCCAGTTGGACTCCTTTGCAGCCTGGCAAACGAGGTCCTTGTCAGGCTGGTAGTTTCTGGCAAATTTCGCAGATTGGCCTCAGCCCCTTCCAAGCCACCCCGGTTTCTTCAGAACATCCAGGCAGCCTCAGAGCTTCCGACATCCTTATATCGCCCCAAGGGAAACGCACTTCCATGGGCCAAGAAGGGGCATGGAAAAAACCACCAAGGGTTTCTTCCATTTGGTTAAGGCCCCAGGAAAAAATATAAATATTTCCAGTAGTGATGATGTCTTTTTAAAGCCAACAAGGGAAAATAACAGATATTCTTAAGCACATGGAGGGTTTGGTGCCCGTTTTTGAGCCCGCGCCTGGCTCCTCTCCGGGCTTGGGCACCTTCAACAGGTCCCGGCCGTCCACGTTGGCCTCCGAGAGTTTGGCGCAGGCAACAACCGAGTCGAGCCACACACATCACCCACCAAAAACAATGGAAGCTCACTTAAAATCGGCCCAAAAGCAACGCTCCGGAAAAAAGGACTAGGGGCCCTCTGAGCCACACACACCCCTTGCAAGCCTTACAAACCTCCCCCATCCGCTCCTTCCTCTCACCCCCCCCTTTCCACTCCTCCCATCGCGCCTCCCGACAGCACCGCGCGAAGCGCGTGGTGGGCTCCGCGCACTCCGAGCGCGCGAGGCGCTGCTGCACGCCCCAGGCCCAGCAATTCGACATCCGCTGCGCGGCTTCGCGCGGCGCGGATCGGCGCGGATCAAAGCCGCGGCGCGGTCCGGCCGGGCTCGGTGCGGAAGCCGGGGGTGGTACCCAAATGGAACCCGGATATGGAAACAAGGACTAAAACCTCCGGTTTTTTGGTGTAACTTGGACCCATACCCATATTGCGGGGCAGGAGGAGGTTGTTGCTTGATGTTGCTTGCAATTCTCTGGTTTCGTTTCTGTGTGGGGCCTGTGCTTTGCAAATGTGGTTGCATGACACTGCAAGACATCTTGCTTCGGCTGTCCTTTTTGCAACATAGGTAAAACAAAGTGTCTAGCCAACAGCTGTGGAGCGGGTTGAGATTCAGAGAGGCCATGGCCTGTTTAAAACCTGGCAAGCGGTCCTATGCTGAAAGCCTCGCGGCGTCAGTTTGCTGCTGCAGCGTGCCTTGCGAAGGCCCATGCTGTGGGCAGCTGTTGGTGCTGTGGGCAGCTGTTGGTGCTGTGGGCAGCTGTTGGTGCTGTTGGTATGTCTTCTTATTCCCTTGCCTTCAACGACCCGGACCCCAGGCTGAAAGGAGAGCTGGATGCTGAAGAGGAATTCTTAAGGGGTGCCATAGTTGGCTGAACCTAAGTTGAACCTAACTTGGGCAACTCGTCTTGCTCAGCTGAACCCTGACTATGAACCCAAGACCCGGGGCGCACACAAGACGGGCTCACGTGCCTTGCCGGCTGCTTCCATTTGCAAGCCCAAGATCAGAAAATGAAGGAGACCAAAAGGGGAGGCATCCCATCTTTTTGACAACTGGTTACTGAAGGACATCAGCTAAAGCGGGGACACCTCGACCCGCCCGCGCCTGGACTGAGCGTCCTCGCCTCAAGCTCAGATGGCTTTGGCTTGGCAAACACCGTGCGGGATACCCAAGTGTTCATTTACTCGTTTCTTTGGTTCAAGTTCAACCCTCCAACAAACCTGGAAGCTGACAGGAGGGCGATGGAAGACGACCTTCCTTGGGAGCCTACTGGTCCACTTCCAATTGTTGCAAAAGGGGCTCAACATGAACCTAGGCATCCAAGGGACTGCAAAGTCAAATGCCCGCGACTGCAAGAAATCACTGCCCAAAACTCAACCGAAGTCGTCGCTGTTCGGTACCGAAAATGGAAGACATTCGTGTCTATGAGTGTTGGCATCGTGTGCATGAAAGCTTCCGCCGCGATTGGGTTTACAGATGCTTGTATTGCCATGATCCATTTGACTGTGGTCATGATACACTTGCCCTTGGGCTCAATTTGCTCCCAACTCTGGTGTCCCTTTGGTTTTGATTTTACACGACCCATTCCGTCCGTCAAAGAATACCATTGCCAAGAGTCGTCTCAGAATGGACTATGCGAGGCCCAGGATTTTGCCCCAAAGATTGCCCGGATTTGTCATAAAGAGGAAAGTACCCCGCCAAGGTGTCAAGTTCCGAATCGCAGCATGCCAAAACTCTGGCCGGTATCCTGATAAGATGCTTCAAACCAACCCCTGTTTCATTGTACAACGCGCAACTGGGCGTGTTTTGGAGGGCACCCTTTTTGGAGTGTGACCCCAAAACAAGCAGCAAACCATCTTTTGGTGTCCCCGATTTTTTAACACGCACACACAGGTGCTCGTAACGCAACCCACTGCAAACCCTGGAGCTTTCCGCTTTTCCGGAAATCAAAAGGCACGCAAAGTGGCTGGTGCTTGGATTGGCAACCTTCTGAGGCTGCCCAAAGGACAAATAACAAATCACTTCGAAACAGTTGTCCTCCAACAGGTCATCATGGGATAACAATTCGCACGGTTGGGATTCAACGTGTCCAATAGGTTGCTTGCCTCCATCCAACTCCCAGCCTTGCGTCACGTGTTCAAAACTTTCCGCCGGTGGGGAGATGGGCGCCGCGCTGTCAGCTGCGGAGAGCTGCGGTTTTGAGCTGCACATCGCCCCGGGGATTGTCCGACACTAGAAACCACCTCCTCTCAAGGCATTTTGCGAGGAACCCAAACCTTCAACTTGCTTCCTTTTAGGACCCCAATGAGTGCCCATGAGGGGGCGGCAGTCGCCACCAGCGGCTTGGCCGCTGAGCGGACGAGAAGTTTGAAGTTCCGACATGGTGACAGGCTGCTGCCGGCGACTTGTGGCCCATTGGCAGCGGCGCATCCCTCGTCGAAGGAAGACTGTAGAGTTTTCAGCCCAAAAGCGTCCACCGAGTGGCCAAAGCAGACAACCCCACACTTCCAACCAGGCAGCCGAAAACTTGAGCAGAGCCGCAAAAAATAAAAGTCGCTTATCTGTTCGGTTTACGTCCTTTAGACACGGTGGCGGGGTCTCGTCCCGTCTAGCCGCGCGGGGGACGCCCCAGGGTCTAAAGCTATCGAATTCAGCGGCCCGGCATTCGCCGGCCTACGAGAAGGTGATGACGTACGCCGGGTACGCAGCGCCCGGAGACTGCGTGACCTGCAGTAACTAAAGCGACATCCAAAGTACCTCAGGTTTTGCCCCAAAACAAAACCAATTTGTTCGATTCTGGTCCATATAGCTGGTGAACCGTGAAATGTAGAATCGTTTTAAAAGAGATATACAGCATTGCGAAAAGCCCAGAGGTCTGTGGGAATACTGGGGCTGGCAAACCTGAAAGGGTCCCTAGCGGACATGGAAGAAATGGGTGAGCGAAGTCCCCAAGACAAGAACCAACTTGCGTTAGACCTAGGGAAGCCAACGTGCCACGCCATTCCACCAGCGGCTGCAGTGTATCACCTTCTGCACTGACGGAATGAGCCATCATGCAGGTGTGTTACTTGGGTATTTCCTTAAATCTGACTGGTGAATTCTAGCCATAGCAACCCGAGACCAAACCATTCGGTCTTCAAAATATCGATCTTGGAATCCCACTGCACGGGCGAATGTGCCAAATGGGACGCTAAATGCGGACAACAATTTGCTCAAAGCGATCATTCATTGGCACCTTGTCAGCAATCGGGGCTATCAATAATAAAGGCCTGTTCGCCCAACCTCCCACGTGGCGGAACATCTTGTTCAACCAAACAGGGCGCTATATAGGAGGGACACAAATGCATGTTTTGTTGTTTTTGTTTTTTCCTTCTGCTTTCGAGGATGAACTAATATTCGCCGTTTGGCCCTTTCAAACTCACCTGTCATTTGGACGGATCCCGAACAGGCCAATTGGCCATCAGCCCCTGTTTTCAAAGCGTCGGCCTACCACCAGTTCCAACATGTTTATGTTTGAGCCGCTGTTGTCTAAACATCCTCCTGTAAGGTTTTTCCTATGACTTTCAGCAACCAAAGCTCGGCATGAGCTGATTGCCCAACCTGCCACCCAATGTTTGGTCCCTGGGCAGCCGGGCGAAGATCTCCGGGTTGGCCAAGCTATCCACCGAGGCGTTGAACCTGCGCTCCGGCACCGTGAAGGCTTTGGAGCGACCCAAAGTCTCCCTAACCGAAGGGTGCAAATGGGGAGGACCCCAAGCCGGGTTCCGGTTTCCCTAACCCCCAACAAGGGCACCCAGTTGCTCAGGAAGTATATCCGGATTGACCATGTGTTGACAAGTGCCAAGTGTGATGTGCTCTTCTCCGACTTCACAGGCGCTGGCTCCTGGCAAGCAAATCTTCTCATCACTGTGCGTGTGTGCATGATTGTTTTGGTTGGCGGTGGGCTCATGAGTGGGCCACTGCTCCTGCAAATGTTGAGAAAGACGTGGCAGCCAGCCGCGCTGCGCACACACACACACACACATGGAAGCAACAACACGCGTTTGCAGGCAAACTGAACAACAAAAACACATGCCAAGAAAAGTGAAGATGTCGCTGTCACGGGGGTTGAAAATTGGCCCTGGAAACCGGAAGAGAGGACCCAACGAGGGGTACACCACTACAAGAAAAAACATCATCTGGCACAAGGATCAAGGATCTATTTTGAACAAACAAAAGTAGCCTTCCCTCTACAAAGTTCAAACGCCACATCGATCCACATCGGCTGCACCCACCCACCCCTTACCCCACTCCACCCGGCCCAGTCGCCCGTTTCCGCCTGTGCCGGCCCTGGCGGAAGGGTAGCACCCCCTTGTGCTCCGGATCTGCGCGGGAGCGTGGCAGGCGGCCACGGCGCGACTTCACAGTGGCCCCCTGGTGACCCTGGTGGTTTGGATGGATAAGGCTGGGTAGAGGTCCATGGATGTTTTTTTGTTTTTTTCCCCCTCGGGGACCCCCAATGCGGTGTTTGTCCTTGTGGTTTCCCTTTAAAACGACAAAAGTGCCCCCCCCCCAAAAAAAAAAACACAACAAAAAAGAAGGACACTCCCACATCTGGCTTCAACAGGAACCGGTGGTTCAAACCCCCAACCGAACCAATCCGACAGGGCCTTGAGCCACGTTGACAAGGAAAGTGTCTTAGTCTAAATCAGCTGGTAAAGGTGATGTTGAAACTCCCAAATGCATCGTACCCCCTTGCGTAAGTCTCGTGTAACACGAATTGCCAGGGTAAGGTCCTAACCTTGGGACAACCATGCATCATATATAAGCCTCGCAAGCAGGGGCTGCCTACCCACAACAGGAAGCCGAAATCAATGAATGAAATCCCAGGGGTCATCACACCACTTCCAGTGTTTGGCTGTTTTTGAGCCCGTGGGCATGCCTCGCATCGCACTTGGACAACCAGAGGTTGTGGCTCTACGGGTTCCACAGGGCTCTGCCGGCCCGCACCCGCCTCCTAGGCACACGAAGCCGTTCATCAGCAAGCAAAGCCTTCGGTCAAGCAATCCTCTTGTGCCAGGCCACAAGGCAATGCATTGACAAGGTCGACTGCGGTTGTTTAGGGTGGAGGGATGTCCCCAAGCATAATGATTGCAGTGGGCGAATCGTGGCCATCGACAAGATACACAAGCCCGTAAGTTGGAAAGTGCTAGGATACTGCATCCATAGAGCCATCCAGCCAGATCAAATCCACAACTCCAGCCCTTCAGACACACAAAAACAAGCCAGCGATGTCTGAGCAATGCCCTTGTCAAAATCTCCATCGAGCCTGTCGCCTGAGCCATGCGAGCCTCGCTATGGCTCAACGCCGAGCGGCAAGACCTGTCGGCTTCCATCAGCTGCGGGTGGGCAGAAGCCGCCGTCGTAGACATACCTCACAAAGCGTGGCTGGGGAGGAGGCTTTTGGCCCACAGGCTCCAGGCTCACAGGAGGTGTTCTTCTGCTGTCTGTGGCTGGTTAGTAGCACACATCTCATTGTCCAAATGCGACCAACCTGAAAAGCGAAAACACGCAGCCCCCAAGATGAACGGCAACGAAGCGCGCTTCTTGGCCTCCGGGGTGCCAGAAACCTGTGGGTGATGCAACCTGCCGCTGGGTGCGCAAAGGGAACCAACTCGTTGACAAGGTGCAAGGTGCCAATTCGACGCCACAATCCGACTGGTATGTCAGAAGGACACGAGCTTCGCTTGGCAGGCGGGAAGGGCTTTACTTTTGGCAAGCCCTGCCACAAATTCACAATGGTGGGGAACTCCCACCCGAATAAAGGGCACAAGCAAATGAACAAACGAAGCAACAAACAAACAAAATAAAGCGAAACGACACAAATCAAAGCAAAACAAGACAAACAAAAACAAACAAACAAAACAGAACAAAACAAACGAACGAACAAACAAAAAGAGAAACAAACAAAACACAACAAATCAAATCAAATCAAACGAAACCAAACGAAACCAAACGAAACCAATCAACCAATCAACCAATCAACCAATCAATCAATCAATCAATCAATCAATCAATCAATCAATCAATCAATCAAATCAATCAAATCAATCAAATCAATCAAATCAATCAATCAAATCAATCAAATCAATCAATCAATCAATCAATCAATCAATCAATCAATCAATCAATCAATCCAATCCAATCAATCAATCAATCAATCAATCAATCAATCAATCAATCAATCAATCAATCAATCAATCAATCAATCAATCAATCAATCAATCAATCAATCAGATAATTAATCAATTAATCAATCAATCAATTAATCAATCAATCAATCAATCAATCAATCAATCAATCAATCAAATCAAATCAACTTAATCAATCAATGAATCAATCAATGAATCAATCAATGAATCAATGAATCAATGAATCAATGAATCAATGAAACAATGAATCAATGAATCAATCAATGAATCAATCAATGAATCAATCAATCAATCAATCAATCAATCAATCAATCAAATCAATCAATCAATAAATCAATCAATCAATGAATCAATCAATCAATCAATCGATCGATCGATCGATCGATCGATCCATCAAACAATCAATCAAACAAACAAACAAGCGAGCAAACAAACAAACAAACAAACGATCGATCGATCGATCGATCGATCGATCCATCAAACAATCAATCAAACAAACAAACAAACAAACAAGCGAGCAAACAAACAGACAAACAAACAAACAAACAAGCAAACACACAAGCAAGAAACAAACCAACAAAACAAACACGCAGGCAAGCAAAACCAAAAACCAGACAAAACAAGAAACAAAACAAACACGCACGCACGCAAGCAAGCAAGCAAGCAAGCAAGCAAGCAAGCAAGCACAACAAACAAACAAACAAAAAACAGTCAAATCAAAAACCAGACAAAACAAGATGCCAAACAAACAAACCGGACCAAAAAAGGCCACTCTACCAAACAAACAAGCAAACAAAACCAAACCAGACAACAGCAAGAAACAAACAAATACAACTCAATCCAAACAAAACCAAAACCAAGCAAAACAATCAAACAAAACCAAACCAAAACCACAACCAAGACCAAACAAAGCAAGCAAACAAACAAAACAAACAAACACACAAACAAACAACAGCAACCCAAACCAAACCAAGCAAGTCAACGAACCAAATAAACATAACCACACCCAAACCAAACAAACAAACAATCAAACAAACAAACAAACAAACAAAACAACATAAACAACATAAACAACACAAACAAGCTAGAAAACAAACGAAAGCAACCCAAACAAAACCAAACAAAACGAAACAAACACACAAAAACAACCCAAACCAAACAAAAGCAAGCAAGCAAACAAAACAAAACAAAACAAAATGCGGAACATTCCTCTGGTCACTGGAGGAAGTATTGGTACAAATGCCTTGTCGAACGTAAACAAACAAAACTCAGAAAAACTTAACACCAAACCAATCAAACAACCTAAATCGGCCAAACATATACCTCGAGACCCTCCCAAGCCCTGCGAACTCGGGTTGAGCTCCATGCCCCGTCTTCCCCCCCTTCCCCCGTCAAAAGCGGGGTGCTTGGCGTCACGGGCGAAGTAGGTGCCGGAGCCCCACAGGGCGCAGCCACGGGTGCCGGACATCAAGGGCTGGAAGCCTCGCGACGCGCTTCGAGGCGAGCTCGAGGGGACGGAGCGGGGGCCTCTGTGCCACTTGGCTGTGCCGCCTCTGTGCCACTTGGCTCTGTGCTCTGTGCCACTTGGCTCTCTGCAACTTGGCTCTCTGCAACTTGGCTCTCTGCCACTTCGCGATGCTTTCGTAAAAGTATCCAATGTTCTTCTCAGCTTCCCTCTGCTTGGTGGTTTGGGTTGGTCACAGGTTGGTGGCAACGCCGTTTACTCTAAGCAAGAACGAGGGGTACGGTACCAACCCCCAAACTACCAATCGAAACCACAAATTCTGGGTTACCCGGCGACTCAACAACAACCGTTTGCGGAGTTTTGCTTGGGCAAACGCTCAACACAAATTTGAACGGTGCATTGCTGTTGAGGACAATGTGCTAAGGTCCTACTGACGGACCTGCTCGCGCCACCCCCAAGCTTGAAGGAAGTTCTCCAAAAATGTCTCCAGAACCATGAGGGCACAAAGGCTGCCAAAAAGGAAAGCCGTCTTCAAGGATTCTGTGCACCTCCATCTTTGGTGGGAGGCTTAAACGAGGGTTGTGAAATTAATTTGGGGTCACTGCCAGACGCATGGAATTCCAGACCAACCACTGAAATGTTCTAGCTGTCTTTCATGGTACTTGTTGTTCATTTTTCCTTACTAGGGCCTGGGCCAGCTTCCCCGTTTGAAGAATTGTCAAAGTCACCCCTCAAGCGGTAGGTTAAAGCGTAGCAACCACAGAAAAAGCTCATTCAGCTGGCGCACAGGTCACATTGAATTGGCGGCTCCATTTGATGTGGATAGGCCCTCTGGCAGCATTTGTCGCCGGCGTTCCAAAGCATCACCTTGATTCAAACCAAGTGACTCGCCTAGCCTGCATTTCGACAATCACGCTTATGTATCCACAATTTCGTTGATGTATGTGCATGCTATAGATTTGTTTCTGGATGAGCCCGTGCAACACCGGGTGAAAGGTCTCACTTCCCCCCGCATCGATGCCTGAGATGGGGTTCGACACGATCGACTCCTCATAGCTTCGCCACGCTTTGGATTGGTGAGGCTCGGGCCCTACGTGATGTGTCGTGAGTCAAAAAGATTCGAACCCCGAAAATGGAGACTGTCCTTTTGGTTTCCCTTTGAACCATCCTGACAAGTACCGAGCCCACACGACAGATCCCAGAAAACAGATGTCACCTTTCCTTGATCCGCATCTCATGTGCATCACATAATTGAGGTATTTATAGTGGCCCTTTGGTGCAAAAAAGCTTGCAAACTGAGTGTTTGGGGAATGACCGGCTTTTCTGAGTTCCCAAAACGTTTGAATCAGCTTGACTCTCTGCATGTTTACTCGGCCCAGCCCCTTAATATACAACCCGAAGGTTAGGTAAACTCAGTCACACGGGAAATATATGGCTGCGGCAGCATGCGGGTACTTCACTCGATCTGGAAGGGGGGGGGGGGCTGGGTGGCTGAGTGGCTCGCTTGTGCCCGTGAGCAGATGCGATTTCAACACATTTCAGGTGTTGTTTTCTCGAGGTTCAAAAAATTATCTTAAAAAAGGTGAGCCATTGGGAAACCACCAATTTTTGGGTTTTTTCCTGCTTTAGCACCAACCTTTTGGGCGGGAGGCACGAACAGGTCGCACTTTTGGGACTGGCCCACTGGATTCCCCTCGAACAGTTGCCGCTTACTGGCTGAGATTCCGCAGCCCTCACCCCTCCCCCAAACTTGGTTCTCCGAAAATGGAAAAAGCACTCAATCCTTATCCACACCCCTCATCTAATGATTACGGCTTGAACATTGGCGACCCCCCCCCAAAAAAATGTGGCTTTCCTCTTGGCTTCTGAGGCCACCCTCAAAAAACCGACACGCCCACCAAATGAGTCCTTTTCGGGGCACCCCCACCCCCTCCCCACTCACCCCCGCCGAGCGTCCACAGCGCTGGACCCATGGAAGGCCCAGCGCGTGTGGAGCCCTGGCACGAAGGACACCTCGGAGCGGCTTCGGAAGCCGCTCTCGGCTTCCCGGGACCTGGCAAACCTTTTGGGCCACTAAACAATGCACCAAGGGGAAAACAAAAGGTCAGATCCGGTTGATTCGATGTGGGCAACTAAGTCTGAGTGGGAGGAAGTGCAGGGGGACGGTTTATCCGCTTGCTTCACAAGGGTGCTGGCAAATGCCGTGTTGTTTTACAAGTAGCCCAAATGATCCAAATGTATGATTTACAGGGCTGGAAGAGTGCGGGCATGCCACTCACAAACACCTTGCACTTCGATAGCTGAATGCTAAATTGCCTGCCTGGAAAAACTGGAAAAAGATGGTGCGTCCCCTTTGCGGCTCCTGGAAAAATTCAGGCTTCGCACATCGAGCGACCCCGTCGCGACCCCACTTGCGGCTCCAGAGGGCATTCTGATTCTCGATGCCCCTCTGTAGCGCCTGCCCCGACACAGTTTGACGTTCGAGGCTCACTTTTGGGGACCTTCACCCGGGTTTGGGCTTGCCATGGCCAAAGGAAAAGGTCGGCCAACTGGCAACAAACATGCATTCATGGTGTCCCTACTTTAGGGGAAATAAAGGGACCCCCATTTCTCGAGGGCTGCCAAACGGGCAGCGAGCAGGGTGCGCAGGTGCTCGAACGAGGCAAGATAAACGCTGCCATCGGCTAGGCTCCTAGCTGGCCTTTTTGGAAAATGGATGAGTTCCGCTGTTTAAAATCAGTAGAACCAAGTTTAAACCAGTGCCGTCCGTCCATCCAAGCTGCCCTAACATGAGACCAATGCGGGTTCTAAACAGAAGGTAACAAAGGGTCCAGCAGAAAAAGAAAAAAAGTCACATGTTCGGACAACCGAGAATCACATATGGCCGTTTCGCACCCGTCGCGTATGGTTGGGGTCTGCGGTTGAAAAGCGCGCCGAGTTGGGCCAACGGCTGCTTTTCTTCTGAGGGGTCGACCCCCCTGAAAGGGCCACCAAAAAGGGGCCCTCAAGTTTACCCTCTCTTTGAAGGTTTGGGCCGTGAGCCTCTGGGTGAAACAACTGTTGGCTTCCCTGATAAGACGGAACCGGGTTTGGTTGATTGAAACTTGTGGTGCTCAAACCACAAGGGGGTTCTCGAAATGGCGGTCCCCATTGCAATGGTGGTTCTTCTTTGTTTTCCCTTGGAATACAACTCGAAAGCTCACTTCCTGAGACGAACTGCTCCTTCACCACTGAGATGGTCGCCAGCAAAAAGCTTGAAGTCCAACTGTTGGATTGAGAAAGGGAGTCGGCCATTCGAAGTCACATGCCATCGCCTTGTAGTAGGGCTCCGCGCTGCCGTCCTCCTGCATGCCGTTCTCCACCCGCTCGATCTTCAAGATGCTCAAGAGCTGCCACATGCCCGGGTTCATGTCCTGGGAGAGGAGAACATGTCTTAAGATAGGGGGGCCCTCCAACAACACTACCGTTTCCTTTCGATGTCCCTGTCAACCAAGCCAAAAGTGGCAACCATCATTTTCTATGGCCTCTTGGACCAAGGCAAGAAGGCTACCCTCAAAAACACATGCGCAGAGCGAGGAGGCGCAAAGAGCACTTTCTGGGAATGGAGACCCAACAGGGGTAACCTTCCTATATCAAAATGGGGACCCGCCAAAGCCATCAGACTGGGAAGACAGGATTTACATACCCTTCAACTTGGGCACCTCCTGAACAAATACAGACCTGAAAATGGGGGAACCCTTCCCCGCACTTTGACCTCCCTGTTGCCATGTTTCCTTACTTTAGGGACACCTGTTGCCTTCGGCGCACACACACGCAGGATACGGACCCCCGTTGCCGTTGGGACCTGCTCAAACTAGGAAATCCTATCGGGTTGCCTTCTGGGAACCCAGGACTGCTAAACTTACGTTTGATAGGAGGGTCCAAATCACTTGAAATTTGGAGTAAACTGGGAGATCAGCTATGAATATTGGACCGGGTCAGGTCGCACCCCACCAAAAGTGGGCTCAAATGATGTAGTTCTACATGCGTCGCTGTGCAAAGAGTGTGTTTTCTAGCTGGTAACTTGTTTGCTGCGAAAGTACGGGCATTTTGACTTAATGTAAGTAGTGTCAAAATAGGGGGGGCCCAACAAAATGTGTCGTTCGGTATGCCGGACAGGACGTGGCGCTCTGGTTGTCTTTTTCCTCGCGACGATTCCGCCTCCCGAGGCGGCTTGGCCGGCCTTTTAGGGCAAAACCAGCTGGCAGACGTTAACAAGGAAGCCTCGCAAGCTCCAATGACTTATTCAGGGGCCACCTGGCACCTCGACTCTTGGTCCCAACTAAAACTGACAACGACACGTGAAAATCGCATATAGCTTTCACATGACTAACCCCGCGCATAGCTGTTCACAGGCCGTGTTTAGTACCGTTGGGTGAAAGTAGATGGCGTGATTCCCCACATTTTGGCCTTTGCTCCAAATCTACCGAGAGCTCAGCCCGGCTCAGCCTCGGGTCTTGCGAAAGACCCGCAGCCGGCGCCATAGTCCGAGCTGGCGCCGGTCTGCGCGAGCAGCTCTGCTAGCGCCTGAGGTTTGGGGAATGCAGCGTGGGGGGTCCCCGGGGCCCAAGGGAAACCAAGGGAAAGCACCGGTTGGATGGCTCTTGGGGCCCTGGCTGACAGTAAAAGGGAATTGTGGGCTTGGGACGGGCATTTATCACACGACAGGCAACCGAGCCTCTTGCTCCCTAAGCATGAAAGCCTTGTGCCAGATCGGCTTCTGCTTTCGGATCAGGAATATCTGGATCCTTCATATTTAGCCGGAGCCCACACGAACTGCATCGAAAGCTTCAGCATTCCTAGCACACAATAGCCAGCCCCCAATTGATTCACAGCCGAATTTGCGGTAACGGTAAAACGGTGTTTTTTCCCCGGAGTCAAGTTATCCATGCTGGTGGAGAGATAAATCAAAGGCGTCCATGTTTTGGACTTTCGGTGTGACTCGCAGCCAGCTGACTTCGGACACATCAGAAAAGAAAAAAGGGCACCACAGACTGGGTGTCTGGGAAGTGCGGTGGACCTCCTGACAGGCGAATGCTTGTGAAGTCTGATGCTCGGCTTCAACCCGATAGCCATGCATACCGGTCAGCGCCTGGTGGCCATCGATGATGAGGATGTCCAGGGCCGTCAAGCCTCAGGTCATATCCTACTTGTGTAGGTCTTGCTGTCATCTGAAATACAACTCTTGTTTAATGGAAACGGCAAAGAGCAAAAAGTTAGCGTTGACAAAAAAAACAGGTTGAATGGAAATGACCAAACCCAAAAAAAAGAAGGAATGGAGTGCGATGCCGAACAAACGGGGTTTGAACCCGAAGAGAAGCTCGCAGCAGGTTGCAAAACTTGTACCTTCTTGACGTTTTACCAAACATGGAAGCGTATTTCTTTGCTGGGCAAGCAGATACTGGGTGCTAAACGGCAGGGGGGGGGGGAGTCTGGCAAAAAACAAGCCTCCCTCCAACAAGTATGGGCTTTTTAGCAACCAGGATTATGGTGCAACCACTTTTTGCTGCTCGGAAGCTTGGCTAAACCTTGGCCCACAACAAAGGGCACACTGAAAAACGTGCCTGCACCAGTTGGGATTCACGAAACCCTACAAATACTGGGGTAAACCACCTACCAACTGGTGGCTTAAGCGGATTTGGCCCATCCACGTTATTTAGCTTTCCCTAACATATTTCACATTGCTTAGGTGGAGACGGGTCCCAAAACCATCACATACGTACCCTCCCTCCCATTAACGTGGAACCTGAGGGGAAGCCCTTGGAAGACCACAGGTGGGTGCAACGGAAGGCGGTCAAAGCCTTCGTGCGACAAAGGTCAAAGGTCGGCACCCCATGCGGGGCCCCTAACCTGACCCCTCCAAGCCCTTGCCGGCATCCGTCTCTTGGCGTCCAAATCCAAAGAAAAAAAAAACGACACCCGAGCGGATCCCAGCCAAGACTCCCTCAAAGCGGCCGTGCACATCCGCCCGCCACCGCAGCAGCAGCTCCAGCACGGGCCCGTGGCCCTTCTCAGCTGCCGCGTGCAGAGGCGCCATGCCTTCCGAACACCTCGGCCCAAGTAAAAGCCGCTTGGCTACATGGGGGCTCCGTGGACCTCAATTTTTTTTCAGGGATTCATGTCCAGCCAGAGTTCGGTGCTGCCCTTGGAATTTTGTAGCAACATGTGCCTTTAAGGAGGTGGCCTGCGTATGTGACTATCAAACCTCCACTCATTTGCCCCTGGAAGCTATCCTGGGTTGAATCTATGGTGTCTAACACTTACCAATTAAGTAGGCTGCCTCCTTATGCCCAGAAGCCGTTGAAACAACGGATGCAATTGGCCAGCTTCCACCCCTTCCACCCACTTTTCCCCAACACCCCACTCCCTCCCCCACCCCCGCTTCAGACCCCCCCCTCAACAACCCCACCAAGCCCACTAACCCTCACACCCTCACAACCCTCGCAGCCCTCACAACCCCAACAACCCCACGAACCCCAAGTACCCCAACTAACAACCCCAACTAACAACCCCAACTAGCAACTCCCCCAACCCCGCAGCAAAAAAGCCTCAAGCCCCCGCCTGGCGTCCACCTGGGCGCCTCTCTCCAGCAGCATCCGCGCAATGGGCTCATGGCCCTCACGCGCCCCCAGCAGCAGCGGCGTGCGGTCCGCCTCGCATGCGTTGATGGCCCGCATTAAACTGGCTGGGCCCCCAGTAGGCGCCAGTAGGGAAGTCAGGGCTGTTTTGGGAATGCAAAGATGTGAAGAAAGGAAACGAGTTGGAAAAACCGCAAAAAGGAAGATCCGAAGAAAGGAAACCAGTTTCAGAGGCTTCAGTTCGGGGCCAGTCCCTTGCACAGAGAGCCCCTTTCTCTGAGAGCCAGGATGGATTGAACCCAACCAGCGGCATCCAAAGACTCCGAAGACAGGGGAAAAGCAAATGGGCGATGGCAGAAAGAGCAACTTTGCCATCAGCAGAAGCTGAAGGCAGTGGATACCCCACCAACTTCACGTTCCCTCAGGATGAATAACCTCTTGGTTGGAAAAAAAGGGGATGTCCCATTCTAGAGGAGAATCTTCACTTTGGGGGAGCGAACCCCAAATTATCCTCCATGTTCATCGATGCGGGGTCAAAAAACAAATCGGGAGATTATTTTGCCTCTGACGGTTTGGGCTGACAGCCTCAGATGCAACAAGCCAAACGTATGACCTGCGCTACCAGGAATTCGACCATCTGCTCCCACACAAACATTGCGCCATTCAATGGAACCCCTTTCAAGAACCCCACAACACCTCACTAACTTGAAGTTTCGGAATCCCTCATGGCTACCTTCATTATTCATCGACAGATCGCCCGTGTTGCTCCGTTCAATGAGTCCAGCTTCGCATGCACATGCCAACGCTCGGCTTGACGCATAACAATTCCAACGCATTCTACTCTGAAGGGCCTGAAGCATTAAATGGGCTTGTGGGGCACTTTAAAAACCAAAGGCCATGATCAAGAAGAGGAGCATTGAGCCCCTATTCAGTACTCACCACTTGCAGCTCGCACACCATCCACCTGGCTCACATCCGGGTTGCACCAACAATAATAATAATAAGTTGTTCAGATTCTGGTACAGCTCCAGCCTGCGAAACACATAAAATCGTTTTGGAGACCCCATACCCTCCACTCCGGGCCAACCCGCACGAAACCGCGCGGGTTGAAAAACCGCCCGTGTCGCCTGGTCCCGCGCGTCGGGCGCGGCGTGGGCATCCAGCAGCCGCCCCGCCGCGTCGGACGCGCCGTGCAGCGCCGCGAAGTGCAGAGGCGCGAGGCCGTCCTCGAGCGGACGACCCGAGCACCCGAGGAACCCAGCGGGGTTTGTCAACATAGGAATTGGCCCCCTAACATGGCGCAAGGGTTTGCTTTGTTTGGGCTTTTCCGGAAGGAATGCCACCCAAAAGGGTCCACCATTTTGAGAACCTTGCTGAGCAATTTTGATTCGCCATAGCCACGGTGAGATAGCCCCCTTGCCCCGCAAGTGTATAAGGGGATGACTAAACCAAGATTGGAGGGGAATGAGTAACCCTGGTCATAACAATGGTGATGAGGTAACGATGTTGTGTGAAAAGGTAACACTGGTCAAAACCCAGACCTTTGGGCATGCCAGGAAACGACCCAACACCCTTCCGACTTTGCGGGTGCATGCAGCTGATTGGTTCTCTATATGCGCGTGCCTTGTCCAGACGTGGGTTTCCTTTTGGCTTCTCTTCAACTCAATAACAAACACCCCAATATTTGAGCAGTAACACTGGTTATAACCAGCTCAGGTCAGAGGCAAATGGATGTAAACAAATGGATCAAGGATACTAAGCTCGCCACACGATGGCGGTTACGCACAACCCCTCCT